CCCCCCCCCCCCCCCCCGAAAAAATCTGAAGTGCCCCTCCGGGGGAAAATTTCTGAAAGAAACACTGCACACACACACACATAAATTCACACACGATTTGTCAATAGATGACGATATATGATGTGGGCACTATATGTAGCCTACATAGTCATATCTATATACCTATAAGGATATTTTTTTTTATTTCGGCGCCCCCTGGGGTCGGCTCTTAGGGTGGCCTCTCCTTGAACCCCCACTTCGCAAGGTCCTGATCGTGACAGTTCAATTTTAAAATACGGGCTTATTGAAGGCATTCCTTTTTGTTGTAAGATGATCCTCTCTCTCTCTCTCTCTCTCTCTTTCTCTCTCTTTCTCTCTCTTTCTCTTTCTCTCTCTCTCTCTCTCTCTCTCTCTCTCACGCACACACACTCTTTCTCTCACTTTCTCTCCCTATATCTATTCTATTATATTTGACTACCCTCAAATTCACCCACCCCCTTTTTTCCTTATCTCCTTTCTCTTTTTTAACTCCCATAGTTGTCCTTAGTTACAGCACAGAATTCACTTTCTCTACAACCTCATTTCGAAAGTAATTACATATCGAACAACTTAAAATTAATTAGTCTGAAGCAATCTTGATGAACGCACTTTAGAGATCAATCAATTGCCACTGTACATCAATATAAGCTACACGCATTACGACAAGGCTTCCAAATCGGGAGTATTGCTGATTTTTTTTTTTTTTTGTTGTTTTTTTGGGGGCTGGGGGGGGGTGTTAATCATGTGGCCATCCAAGTAACTCAGGATTGGGAATTAAGATCAATAAGCTACATGTGTATAAATGGTGTAGGTGAAGTTGATAAGTCCATTATCACCTCCACAATATGCAGTTTAAGGATAAACAAACAGGGTTGAGAACCTCTGCCCCCTGAAATGATTCTAGTGTGGTGTGGCATCATTGAATATAACTACATCTTGTATCAACCACGGGAGATCCGTCATTGAAAATTGCTTCATCAATATACGACCGTGCTATCTCGCTCCATGTGATCTTACATTAGATTTCCATTAGTACCTACTGATTTTCCAACCCTCTCAAAGAAGATTTTAAAAAAAAAAATCGTTACATTTTTTAAATCATTGGCATTANTTTTTTTTTTTTTTTTTTTTTTTTTTTGTTTTTTTTTTGGGAGCTGGGGGGGGTGTGTTAATCATGTGGCCATCCAAGTAACTCAGGATTGGGAATTAAGATCAATAAGCTACATGTGTATAAATGGTGTAGGTGAAGTTGATAAGTCCATTATCACCTCCACAATATGCAGTTTAAGGATAAACAAACAGGGTTGAGAACCTCTGCCCCCTGAAATGATTCTAGTGTGGTGTGGCATCATTGAATATAACTACATCTTGTATCAACCACGGGAGATCCGTCATTGAAAATTGCTTCATCAATATA